GCGAGATCAAGCGCGAAGCTCAAGACCGAACGCGATGGACTGTTGTGGACGCCCTCTGCCCCATCTAGGGGACATAGGACCATAAGTCAAGTTTCAGCAAACGTGGTCGCCCCAAGCAAACTTGGCGGCGCACTGTAGCAGACGAGGCGAAGAAAATTGGCAAGACCTGGAGCGAGATCAAGCGCGAAGCTCAAGACCGAACGCGATGGACTGTTGTGGACGCCCTCTGCCCCATCTAGGGGACATAGGACCATAAGTCAAGTTTCAGCAAACGTGGTCGCCCCAAGCAAACTTGGCGGCGCACTGTAGCAGACGAGGCGAAGAAAATTGGCAAGACCTGGAGCGAGATCAAGCGCGAAGCTCAAGACCGAACGCGATGGACTGTTGTGGACGCCCTCTGCCCCATCTAGGGGACATAGGACCATAAGTCAAGTTTCAGCAAACGTGGTCGCCCCAAGCAAACTTGGCGGCGCACTGTAGCAGACGAGGCGAAGAAAATTGGCAAGACCTGGAGCGAGATCAAGCGCGAAGCTCAAGACCGAACGCGATGGACTGTTGTGGACGCCCTCTGCCCCATCTAGGGGACATAGGACCATAAGTCAAGTTTCAGCAAACGTGGTCGCCCCAAGCAAACTTGGCGGCGCACTGTAGCAGACGAGGCGAAGAAAATTGGCAAGACCTGGAGCGAGATCAAGCGCGAAGCTCAAGACCGAACGCGATGGACTGTTGTGGACGCCCTCTGCCCCATCTAGGGGACATAGGACCATAAGTCAAGTTTCAGCAAACGTGGTCGCCCCAAGCAAACTTGGCGGCGCACTGTAGCAGACGAGGCGAAGAAAATTGGCAAGACCTGGAGCGAGATCAAGCGCGAAGCTCAAGACCGAACGCGATGGACTGTTGTGGACGCCCTCTGCCCCATCTAGGGGACATAGGACCTTAAGTCAAGTAAGTCAAGCAGGAGCACGACCCTCTCAAATTTACCAGATGCTAATGAATAATATGGCCTACACCATTTTAACTGCCTCTGTGGTCTAGTGGTAAAATCACATGCCTCAAATCCAGAGGTCCCCGGTTTGATTCCCAGTAGGAGCATATTCTGCTTGGTTTGGTTGATACTGGCTAACTACTTACCATCTTGTCTAAAGCTGTCGCCATCATTTGTTAAAAGCATCGTGGTTTCGGCAGTTGGAGTTAAGATAGCGATAGGTATCCCATACCTCTGTGGTTGATGGACGTCCAGTCGTCCACTGCTGAACATAGGTCTCCCCCAATGATTTCCATAATGACCACCTGTTTTAGACCCAGAGGTCCCGGGTTCGATTCCCAGCTGGGGCAAGATTTTCTGCTCAGTTTAGTTGGTGGTGTAAGGTTTGTCTAAGTCCGTTAGCTTACTTAAGTCTGTCTCCATAACAACAATTTCTGGCAGTTGGAATAAAAAAAGGGACTATTCCCACCTCTCGTTCCCACCGCTGCATCTCCTGTGTAGCCAGGATCTACAGCTTGACCGCCAATAACCCAACCAGTGAAGGTCAAGTTTGTCCCGGGGGAAAGTTAAACTGTCACAAATTAATCAAAGAACATAGGAGGTAAGATAGCCAGTTCCTCTGTGGTTGTGGATTCAGGGTCAAGCTCGCTTCCACTTTCGGCCTGATTATCATTTTCCATCAGATGAGAGGCAGGCCAAGAGCTTCTTCGAATTGTTTATTACTAAGGCTGAGTTGCACCACCTAACTTTGACCGTAACTATGACGATAACCGGTGTGTTTTGTATGGAGTTTGACAGATTTTTGACGTTTATCAAAGTTAAAGATGGTGAAACCCAGCCTAAGACTATCAGCATGTGTAATCTAAAAACTGGTCGAGAATGCTTTAGTGCATTAAGTTCGCCTTATGTTCAAATTTATTTTGGCATGAAGTTTAAATAAATAAATAAATAAATAATCGTGATAATGGAACTTCATAATAATCTACAAATGTCTGGAATATTCATGTTTTAATGTCCTCCGTTGTATGTAACTCTATCAACTCTAATGGGCTTTTGTTAAACAATAATGAGGCAAAGGAACCAGGCAGATATGTAGGTCAACAGTTATCTAACAAAATAATCTATTCTAATATTATAGAATGAAAATAGTGACTGAGTCTCTTGCGCTGCTTCTTCTCAGCGCTGGCCCATTTATTGTCCTGAAACAGTGGTAGGGTTAATACTAGGACGTGTAAATGTGATTTTTTAAAGCCTACTTGCATAAATAAATGAGTTCTTTTTATCCACAACGAGGAAGCTCACCTGATGGTAAGTGACGATCAGGCCGAAGGTGGAAGCGAGCTTCACCCGGTATCCTTAACCACGGGGGAACTGGCTATCTTACCTCTCACCTAACCTAACCTTTGTTTGTCACCTGTCATCCGCATTGCAATGGAGGGAAGTCTAACCTTAATTTCGAACCTCCTATGTTCTTCTGATTAATTTCGTTGCGGGCCCAATGACAGTTTAACTTTCCCCCGGGACAAAATTGACCTTCATTGGTTAGGTTTTTATGGCGGTCAAGCTGTAGATCCCGGCTACACAGGAGTTGCAGTGGTGGGAACGAAAGGTGGGAATAGTCCCGTATCTTACCTCTAACTGCCGGAGTTTTGTGAGTTTTTTTCCAAAGTGTCGTCTGGAGTCCACTTGATCACCTGGGTGATCAAATCCAGGTGACCAAAGTAGAACAACTTGGTCAAATATCATGTCCGACATACACTCGACATCAAATAAATCGCACCTCCCGCGACAAGCACTTTCAAACGTGTGCATCCCCACTTCCTACCAATATTGGCACAATTTAAAAGCCTAGTTCTAAACTTCATTTCATTAAAGGAAAGATTTTGATCCCAAAAATGTGTCTCTAGAATGATCCAGAGTCACTTCTTCAAAATATAGGTAGTTACGCTTGAGCCAACTTTTATGGCTTTAAAACTGTTAAGCTGGGATTAATCGCTATCCATCTGTTAAAGAGGACACGTGTGATCATTATTTGGTTTTATAACCATACAATTTGGTCTAATTGATCCCAGAGATGAGCCCAAAGTGAGGTCTTTGTTTTTCTTAAGGGTATTTATTGGGCTTTCAAATAACACCAATATTGTTGGGGTACCATGATTGTGTCAGAAGAAAATCCTTAAAGTTCGCGTCGCGGAAGGTGCGGTTTATTTGATGTTGAGTGTAGTTAGTGTACCATTAATAATCTGTATGAACTTCTAGGGAGCGTTTTAGAGTAATGCGGTCCGGAGGAACCGCTCCGCTCCCTAGCAGTTCATACAGATCGGCTGTGCGGAGCGATCCGCACTGACAATCCGCGTGACACTAAAACTAGCCTAATATTATCAAGTACGTTGACCAAATTAATACACATCCAGATTCCAGGGGTTACGAGTTAGTGGGACAATACGTCGAGTGATGTCAGAATAAGATAGTGGTTACGCCACTTTGCCCTACATTCGAGAAAAGTTGTTGACCCCTTTTTAATAGTAATGTAAAAAATCTCTCAAAGCTATAGATAGGTATGTATGACTCTCCTTTCTTTGTGTTTTCTAGCGCTACTGTTTTATACATATTTTAGTATTGAATATACAGGAAATCTTTGAATGCAATTCTATTTCTTTTCGAAAATAAAGGAATGTTTTCTTTGACAAAAATGTTCTATCTACAATATTAAGAGTACTTTCCCTCCAGGTGGCATTACAAAATTCCACCCTGTATATATGACTCTCCTTTCTTTGTGTTTTCTAGCGTCTTTCTTTCATGACGAGATCGTTTGTTTTTTTCGGAATACCCTTTAGATTTTTATCATAGTTTTAAGATGGTATAGAAACTTTTTTCTTCAGGAAGATTTGAAATGGTCTCCTTTGTGTGTTGTCTGGACAAGACAGACAATTTTGTGTTTCTTCTCTATCTATTTCTATGTATCTATAGGTATTTGCTTATCTCTGAATTTTGCGTTTCTCCTGGGGTTTCTCTTAAGGCAAAATATTTTCTGATGTCTCTACGACACCAGTATGTATCAGGTTTTCAAGAAAACACGGGAATAATTTTAAAGATTTATAAAACATAATTTAAAAATATGGCATAATAATCAACTTAATGATATGGCTTCTTAGTACAAATTAATAGCAAGACCGACAGCACGTCAAGGTATCTTAATGATCATCATGTGGCTTAGTCTCACTGCAAGAGAACGACCCTCTCCAATTGACCAGAGGCAAATGGAGGATTTGTCCTACACTCCCCACGCTGGCCAGACGGGTTGGGGAGGCCTGATGCTCGCATATTTGTCCCTTAGTCCTCTTACGACATCTACTGGAAAAGTGGGGGTTGTTAGATTATTGTAGCAAAATTAAATAATTTGACGTGCTATCGACTTAACAATAAATAAATACAATTTAAACTTAATATAATATTTTAATACAATAAGGTAACTATAAATTAGGTAATTATCGTAACATCTTTGGCATTAAGATTTAATCATAGGTAACATTCAGCTAGGATAACCTTAAATTTTAATTTTAATCTTACATTAATTTTTAAATATTCTAAAACACGACTCATCATTTAGTCTACGTTACAAAAAACCGACGTAAGTGACGTAACGTGACTTCTGTGCGACGCGAATGTGACGCGAGTACGACGCGAACGCGACTTTACCTTCCCCGACAATAGGGTCAGGAAGGTAGGTGGTTAACTGATATAAATTTTATAGCAACCAGACTGCTGCCATCTGCTGGATGGCTTATTACAGGCGAGGGGGGCACTAGAGGATCCCTTGCAAGGATACATAAAACCCCGAAGGAATGCCATACATTTCTGGTTAAGGAGGGACTGCTGGAATCACCCCTGCGAGTGCCTATATCATAGCAATTATCTAAGTCATTCTCTAAGTCCATGGCACCTTTTAGAATCTTTAGGAGTGATCTTGGCGGAGGTTTGAACAATGCACGCTTGGAGTGGAAGGCATTTGGTTTAGGCGACTCCAGCCCCCATATGATGCCCTTCAAGTCTCTTCAAGGGTCAAATGATTCCTATGCGGCGATCTTATGGCCCAAAGCAGCAGCAGTGCTTTTAATCCAGCGTATATAAGACGCTACCCTGGTATAAACACCAGGCCGCGCGCGCCGGGCACATCCAGACCCCCAAGATACAACGCCGTGTAACTGCCAGCGGTTAGACGGCTTGCAGGCTAAAGGCCCGCCGGAATCGCCTCGGCAAGCGTCCACACCCCCTGAGAGGACTCCTGGAAGAAAATTGACATTTATGAAAGTAAGTATGGATCTAGGAGTGGGCAAATGGGGGCGCCTGGCTAATCAAAGGCATGAGCGACATTTTTTAGGTGTCTCAAACGCTGGGTTGCCGCAATAAAATTTTTCCCCAGTTAGAAAAAAACGTAGATCCGTGACTGTATGAAAGACGGGATATCATTACCCCTTCTGTGATCTCGTGGTAAGGCAGGTTTTTATACCTGGGACTAACACCTCAGACTTTTGAGGTTCGATTCACAGTGGGGGCAAAACATTTATGAAAGACTAGGTAGTTACTCCTCCTATGTGCTTCTGATTAATTTCGTTGCGGGTCTAATGACAGTTTAACTTTTCCCCGGGACAAACTTGACCTTCACTGGTTGGGTTATTGGCGGTCAAGCTGTAGATCCTAGCTACACAGGAGTTGCAGCGGTGGCGGTGGGAACGAGAGGTGGGATTTTTTTTTTTTTTTTTTTTTTTTTTTTTTTTTTTTTTTTTTTTTTTTTTTTTTTTTTTTTTTTTTTTTTTTTTTTTTTTTTTTTTTTTTTTTTTTTTTTTTTTTTTTTTTTTTTTTTTTTTTTTTTTTTTTTTTTTTTTTTTTTTTTTTTTTTTTTTTTTTTTTTTTTTTTTTTTTTTTTTTTTTTTTTTTTTTTTTTTTTTTTTTTTTTTTTTTTTTTTTTTTTTTTTTTTTTTTTTTTTTTTTTTTTTTTTTTTTTTTTTTTTTTTTTTTTTTTTTTTTTTTTTTTTTTTTTTTTTTTTTTTTTTTTTTTTTTTTTTTTTTTTTTTTTTTTTTTTTTTTTTTTTTTTTTTTTTTTTTTTTTTTTTTTTTTTTTTTTTTTTTTTTTTTTTTTTTTTTTTTTTTTTTTTTTTTTTTTTTTTTTTTTTTTTTTTTTTTTTTTTTTTTTTTTTTTTTTTTTTTTTTTTTTTTTTTTTTTTTTTTTTTTTTTTTTTTTTTTTTTTTTTTTTTTTTTTTTTTTTTTTTTTTTTTTTTTTTTTTTTTTTTATGCTAGACAAGGCAGGTATTTGACCGCAATCGCACCTGGTGTTAAGTATTAGAATAGGGGATATTATTTACTTATCTAACTTTATACTTACCAGCACAGATCATAGAGTCCAATATCGCTTGCTGTCTTCCACCCAGCACTTGGTTCTTCCTACAAGTGGCCAGATCCAGCACTGGTACTGAAGCCGCTCTCAAGACTGGTGCAAAGGATTCTGTGCTTTCTGAAAATGAACATAAAACTTAGATTAAAACAAACTGTAGACTGAATTTTTCAAGCGGGTCTGATCAAAAATAGGTAAAAATTAAAAATACGCTATTTTTAATTTCTTGCTAATAACATTATTAGCAAGTCAAGGTGCTGGAATGTTATTATTTGTGGCCTTAATATTACCACTGAATATCCTGCACTGAAGTATTCAACCATAACTCCTATTGATGAAACATTGCTGTGCCAATATCATTAGGCTTCAATACAATACATATTCTATAAGTTACTTGCAACAGTTGCAACTTTGTAAGTGATTATTGCCGCCCATAGACACCCGTAGCTCCTCATGGGAGTTACAGGTGCATTGCCAGCTTTTCTCTTCAAATCGTTTACCATTTCCCAACACTCATAGATAGTCTAGAAAAATAGAAGACCGAGCAAACGAAAAGAGACATTAAAACTAAGTGCTTAAGGCTTACCTGCTTGATATCCCCAACCACTCACAGCACACCACCTCCCAGCGCTGGCATCGCGTTCCTCCGGCAGACATATGGGCCGCACGTGGGTATTGAACTGCACCCCGGATCCAGCTCGGGATACCACCACTAGTGCTATGTCGTTGCTGTGGGGACCATCTGAAAAACACAGCCGGTTGCTGAATAAGAAATATGGATAATTCCTTATCATCATCATCATCATCAGGTCATTTATGAACTAAGAGCCCGTAAACTGTAGATCTGCGCATGCTCTCAACAAGATCTTTGGACCATCATGAAGTTTGGTTCACCGTGGCTTGGGCAGCTGCCCTAAAATGCGTGGCAAGACGTTGGAAAAGTCTAAACTGTCTGGCTGATGATGAAACAATAATATTATTGGTATTAAAATCTGCGTTTACTTCACAATATTTGGTATTTGGAAGAAACTAAAAAAATACTTCATACCAATGGATTAACCAATTGAATTTTTTGAGTAAAAGGTAAGCAATTTGTTCGTTCGCTTCAGCCAAATGACGTCAACTAAAGGACAAAGGCCTTCCCTAAGGATTTCCACAGTGACCTGCGCTGCCCGCATCCAGGTACTTCCCAAGACCTTCGCCAGATCGTCGGTAATCAATTACAGAGATTTAGAGGCGAATGTGGAAATTATTGAGGGAGGCCCATGTTCAGCAGTAGACGTCCTGTGGGTGAGATAATGATGACGATGATGTATTAATTACTCACTCTTCCTAAAATCCGGGTGCGGCACCACCTTCTCCGCCAAGAACCGGTTCTCGTGCTTGTCCTGGAACTTCAGCCGGTGTTCGCCCACCACCAGCCGGATGTGGTCGAGTTGCAGCGGTTGCTGCAAGCAGAAAGAGCTGAGAGCCCGCGGCTACAGCGGTTATCCTATTCTATCTTATGCTACGGTCTCCTTATGGGTACCTAATTATTGTTTGTTATGGCCAAGGTGAGCTCGGCCAAGGACCCTTTTGTGCGTAGCGGCTGGGAAGGCGCCGGAGCACATTCTGAGGGCAAAAAACTGTCCCCAGCCGCCGCAAAAGCCTAAGTCGGTGCCACAGAATGGCACAGCGGCTAACCTCATGGAGGTGGACACGGGGGTATCCGCCTCCAGTCGTAAAAAAAGGGACGTAGTCCACCCACAAGGTAGACCGACGACATCATAAAAGTAGCAGGGAAGCGCTGGACGCAGGCCGCTACCAATCGATCAACATGGAAAGCATTGGGGGAGGCCTATGTTCAGCAGTGGACGTCCCATGGCTGGAATGATGATGAGGATGATTGTTTGTTAACACACAAATTATACACATTTAAGCATTATACTGAAGTTGGTATAAAAGTCGTGAGAAAGTATGAAACGAACAGACTTTCTGTGCCAGATTGAAAAGGGATGAAGGGATATAGCCGTGATCTTCTGATCCTACCTAAAAGAACCTTTAGTTATTTGTATCATTAGTATTGAGAATGCCGCTTTTATAATCGGATAATGGGCAGGTGCTTGATTTTTGCTATGATTTTACTTCAAATAATTTAATTAACTTTAATTTTAAAGAATTTACAAGACTAATAAAAAAGTCGGTCTATAGAAGCACTATAGGATCGAGGGTTCTGTACAATAATGAGTTTCATTTTCTCTTAGTGATCCTATGTTTCTGTATTTTTCTTTGAAGTACGGAAACCTTAAACGACCATAATATTTGGTACAACTGTCTAGCCATCACAGTTCAGCATACCACTAACCTTGTCAAAACAGTGGGCCGCCGACAGCACCAGACGTTCAGCGATCACAGCGCCCCCGCAGTGGTGCTCGAAGTTTAGGTTATCCACGTTCAGCATCTGTATCTCCACCTGGAATATGATTACATACTCTTTAGGGGCTAAATCAGTTTTCCTACTAGTTAGTTTTTCCAAGAACTAGGTAATGTCCGTTGAGCAGAAAAGTTTTCAAGTGGGACGGGACTATAATATTCTTCTGATTATTTTCGTTGCGGGCCCAATGACAGCTTAACTTTCCCCAGGACACACTTGACCTTCACTGGTTGGGTTATTGGTGGTCAAGCTGTAGATCCTGACTACACAGGAGTTGCAGCGGTGGGAACGAGAGATGAGAATAGTCCCGTAAGTGGAACGGGAAAGACGGAATGCAGGCAGTTCCCCACTCGGTGGACAGATGATCTAGTGGTGGTAAGTGCCAGGATTCAGGCAGTATAGGATTGGTTGCTGACGTTGCTGTGGAAATACTTGAGCTTGTTGTACAGTCAGCGTGAAAAAGTTCGTAACCCCCAAAGTAGCTAAAAAGTTCGCAACACGTGTTGTCAATGTGCAAGCAACGTCTATAAGGTGTAAGGAAAAAACGTAAATACTACTAGACTAGTGAAATTGAATTAAAAAAAAACTGAACATTTTACATTATTTTGAAACTGTATCTGACATGCTGTAGTTATATTAAAAGATTAGATTGACTGCCATGACACATTCTTTATGTTTTATTGCAAAACCGCACTTTTATTACATGCATAAGCCACTGTATTTATCTTTTTGTGCCATACTTTAAAATCTGCACAATAATCATTGACATGATAACATCCATTAACAAGATGCATCGAATCATGCGCAGATCGATGTTGTAACTTAATCGATCCTTCGAGCCGGCCTACAAAGAGGTTACATCACTTCAACTTCGACACACGGCTTTTTGTGGGTTCCGTACAATATAATTTTTAAATTTTTATAAATATTAACTTCGATGACTCTACATTTTAAAGTAAAAAATCTTTGCATCATTTAAAGTAAATTAAAATTATAATCAAAAGATTAAAACAGTATTTAGTCCAGCCAACAAAGTTCTATAGATAGAAATGCGTGGAACACTGTTTCTCACTTCGCGACTTCATTTTAGAATAGTTAGGAGAACATATCACAAGTCCCTGCCCTTAGCCCTTGAGCCGGCGGAGAGGGTGGGTTTTTCTCATAAGTCTCAGAAACTATGCGACCCAGAAACATTCGACCACTATTAACCAAAAAAAAGCTGGAGATATTTTATCTTTACCACATGTCGAAAAAAAATTACTTTGTGTTCTACTGGTATCTGGTAGAGATTATCAATTTGGCTTAAGTTTTAGTGTGTTCCTTTAGCAAATACATTTTACTAACTTAAATCTAGAATATTTATCATTAGGGTCAATAAATTCATTATACCAACGGACCCCCAAAAACCGGTTCGAAGGAGGTTGCATAAAAAAGGCGGGAAACAAAAGAAAATCGATTGCTCACGAGTGAAAGTTCGAGGACAATGCGCTTCAATAACCAAGATGGCGGTCATCTGTCAAAGTGACGCGCGCACGTGCATTGTTTTGGCGGGAACTTTTTAACTGACGGCTGACTGCATTGACTGCACTTTGGTTTTATAATGGTTTTTTAATTGCGGGTCGACTTCCTATTATGAGATTTTATGGCTTTTTAAATGCCAAGAAGATGTGACATAAAAGTTAGTAACAGTACCTACGAGTTAGGGAATTTTTCTTCTTCTCGTAATTCCTTAGGGTGGTCGACAAACTACAACGTCATTAAATGAAATCAAATCATTATTTGCATTTATTTAGGTTGAGTGTGAGAGTGCATTTTGTTTGTGAACTTCAACGCATTATAACTTCGTAACTAGGTACTTGTTTCATTGACAAATCTGAAAACTATATGCTTTGACCAACTACACTGTATCTCTATGCAATTTATGTATTTGTATGCATTTGTTTGTTTTCTGAATAAAACAAAATAAACAAAAATATACGAGTCCAATATTTTTTGAGAACGTAATTGAAGGACTAAAAGTTTTTTTTTATTTGTAAAAGAAAGTCCCCACATTCCAACCACAGGAAGTTAATTTTTCACAATAGGTATTTAAAGTAGGTGTTGAAAACATCTGAAAGTAACTAAAAGTTAATTATTCCTGACCTTACTTCCACTTTCAAATCTACATCGACACACTTATGCAAATAAATCATTGTTAAAAAGTAAACAAAAAAAAAATTCTTGCATCATTTGATCATTAAAGGATCTTAACCGTATCAACTCGAGGCGGTCAGTATTCTTTGTATGAAACTCCATACTGCAACGCACACTAATCCGCACCGTAACGTAAACGCCTCGCCTCGCGGTTGACACGCGAAAGGCGATGACAGCTCGCGAAAAGCAATACGGTGTTGATCCCTTTCCGAGTTGATAAGTCTGCTACAACCTTTAGTCTTCACTGCAGGAGTACGACCCTCTCTGATTGACCAGAGGCAAATGGAGGATTTGTCCTACACTCCCCACGCTGGCCAGACGGGCTGGGGAGGCCTGATGTTTGCATATTTGTCCCTTAGTCGCCTTTTATGAAATCTTTTTAATGGCAATGTATTATTTACTAATCAAATGATCCATTCAATTTATAGTTATAATAGACGACCTTCGTTTCTGTTCTTAGACGGTCAAGTTCAAGACCGAATCGAAACCGTAAGTCAATAGTTCGATTAAAGTTTAACGCACGCACGACAACAACTCAACGCTACTCTACATGTGGTATCTTAACGAATTATAAACATAGGTTCTACGTGTAACGTATCAAAAAGTTAACTAACTCTACCTTTTTAAAACCAATTTAATTCAGTTTAATATTTTTTTTAGTCGCATCTCAGAATTTTTGTTAAATAACTTGAAAAATCGAATTGCGTATTACAATTAATTGCTTAGAGCAGTCGCCTGGCAAGCGGAAGATCGTGGGTTCGATTCCCGCTTTAGGCAATTTGATTTGATTAAATCATCATTAGCATCATTCCAGCCACAGGACGTCCACTGCTGAACATAGGCCTCCCCCAATGACTTCCACATCGCACGGTTGGTAGCGGCCTGTATCCAGCGCCTTCCTGCTACCTTTATCAGGTCGTCTCGTCAGGTTTTGATTAAATAGTGACTGAGTTTCTTGCGCTGCTTGCTTTTTAAAAGCCTACTTACAAAAATAAAATGAGTTTTTATTTACCGCCACACCGAAGTTTTTCAGGCTTAAAATGAAAAAAAAAATTAAAATAAAAAGTCTTACCTGCCAAGGAAAGGCTCCGTAAGGAGTTTCAGTGCCCCCTACAATCTTCCCTGTCCTCCTTGGATTAAAATCCACTGTCCTTGTCCCACATTGGACCTTCTCTGTCTTGTCAGGATTCTTTATAGAGTTCTGATTGAAATAATTAGTTGAAAAACTACTAAAAGCCTTCGAAGGCCGCGTTCTGTTCCTATAATACTCCATGTGGTTTACTGTGTTTAAATAAACTTCTCCGCATACTGTATTTATCAGCATAAAAATTACGAAAATCATTTTTAATTTTTCACAGCGCACCAAAATCACTCTTATTCCTTATTTATGGCCAGCTAAAATCACTCTTAAAAATATTTTCACTCGATTTTTTATCTGTCACTTTTTTTTAAGCACGTGTGCGCGATCGCACTTCCAAAATCGGAATGAAGTATGAGCGATGGTCAAATTGTTTTTTTAACTCGCTACAAATAGTGACACACGCGATAATGTGGGTCACTAGATCAATCTTGAGATGCATCGAACAATTGTTCGCGGTTTTAAGAACTCCTTTATGGGATTCAATTGAAAAATGATTGTTTTTGTCCTTGTCTTTGTAAATTGTCAAGAGAGAGTGAAAGAGTGATGAGGTGATTCACTTCGGATCTCCTCTCACTGATTAACAATGAATGCAGTTTGGTGACATGCTTTGTGGTGTTGTTTGCGAGTTCAAAACATGGGTACCTACCTACTTTTTTTAATTTTCTAAGGTACAAACACAATTAATTCATTCGTTCAGCCAAATGACGGACAAAGGCCTCCCCCAAGTATTTCTATAACGAACGGTCCTGCGTTGCCTGGTACCAGGCTCGTCCCGGGACCATCACCAGATCGTCGGTCCACCTTGTGGAAGGCCTGCCCTACAAATAATTCATTTTGCAGGAAAATACATTAGAGAAAAAGAAAAACCGTTTTCTTTCCATATTTTTTCAGTAATGACGGAAGTATGAAAAATGAATCCTACCTAAAAAGACCGTTACTACTTGACTGTAGTAAGCATTAGTTAATAAAAATATCCATGAAACGTCATTTTTTTCTTTGACACACTTTGACATTCGGTGTCATACCTAATTTCATTTATTTTTTACTTAAAATCTTTATTAGACACACAAAAATTGAAGAACAAAATGCGATCTTAATACTTGTGCCATTCTCTACAACTTAACCTTTGGGCCAAACAAAAAATAGAGAAAATTTCATGACTGCCATAGGCGTGTGTTGGGGGAGGCCTATGTTCAGCAGTGGACGTCCTGTGGCTGAAATGATGAATATGATGATGATAGGCGTCTGACATAGCTTCTCTTGGGACCAATCTTTGACACACATACCGTCTGTACCCCATTTCCGAGCACAATGTCATGTGCCAGCTTATCTGGGTACGAGCCTTTATTGTTAGTTTTCCGATGATCTTGCATTTTTCTTCGTTAAGGCGCATTTTCTGTATAAATTGGGTCAGAAAAATGAAAATTCAAAAATGTGTTAAGTTTTTTGACTTTTCATTTAAAATGTTTTTTTTAAATGAATTAAATATTTGAAAGTATTATCCCATGATCCCCAAGCCTCCTCAACTGGCCCTTTCCCCGTCTGGCTAACGTGGGGAGAATAGGCCAAATCCTCCCATTGGCCTCTACGAATACTACGAAATTAGAGAGGGTCGTGCTTCTTCATAAGTGCCACTTGTGGTCTAAACTGAATAAATATTTTTGATTTTGATTTTGATTTGCAATGAAAACGAAATATTGACGATGATGATGATGAAAGCACTACGAGTAGGTACCTATTTACATCTTCGTCTAAGTATTCAATTTAGAATTTTGAAAGAAAAAACTATTCTAACTCTAAATACTTTCCCACTAGGTGGACCGACGATCTGGATCAGGAGGTGCCTGGATGCGGGCAGCGCAGGACCGGTCTTTGTGGAAATCCTTGGGGGATGGATGCCTTTGCCCAGCAGTGGACGTCTTTCGGCTGAAACGAACGAGCGAACTCAAAATATTTACTTTTTTTCCACCCTAGGGTGCAACCAATTCCTATGCAAAAGATAATAACTATTCTTTCCGTATGGACTAAAATTCAAATCAAATAAAGTTTTTTGACGTAGGAGACATTCCGTTTTCTGCGTTGCGGGATCCTGGATTACTGGATCCCACAAAACTGGACGTGGGAACAAGCCCTAACCGTTCACGTCATACATAAATCAAAAACTCAAAACTGCGCATATTCCACAAGACCAAAGTCCGATTCCTACATAAACTACGATAGCGAAGCCTTAATGCCCCACTTTCAGTTATTTATTGAAATTACCACGATAACGCCGTAACTTTGACCCATAATGTGTGCAAAGGACACAGGTGTTGCTGTACAGATAGCAGAAATTTTGCACGCATTTTAGTTTTAGTCTTGCTAGTTGAGCTCTTTATTCAAAACTTTGACCCAAGACAGTATTTGTAAGGTCATACGAATTATTTTGCAGCACCCCTTTTGAGCAATCACAATTTGTTATTTTTAATGACTATGGTGAACCCTTGTCAATTTGGGCTCTGAATTGCACGGATTTTAGACTTGCTATTATTTTCGTTCTTTTCAGCCAAATGACATCCACTGCTGGACATAGGCCTCCCCCAAGGTTTTTGCTCAATGGACAGTCCTGCGCCGCCCGCATCCAGGTTCTTCCCGCGACCTTTACCAGATCGTCGCACAGTGGTCCCGATTTAATAAAACATGGACATTGATGCTAGAGGCACGAAATTTTTTTTGATGGTTACTGCTATGATAACTAATAAGGCAAAAAAATATTACAATCCTACGACGTCTATTTCGTAGTAAAAAAATATATATACATATTTTTTGTATGGAAGAAATTACGTTTCTGTCAATTTTTCGAAATTCTTTAACGATGTCAAAATGCCGATCACACATGTTATAAAACAAGTGATTCTGAGTATTTCATGCGAAGATACTTGTCACTTATCTCTGCGTACTTTTGAGTTATCGAGGGTTGAAAAATCGATTTTTTTATATTAAATATTTCCACGAAAAATTGCCAGAATTAAATAAAAAAAAAATAAGGGAAATACTAAATACAAAGTTGTATGTATAGGTCCGCTGGTCGTCAAAAAGTAGCTTATACGAGAGGTTGCCCAATTTACAATATGTCCATCATTGATAACTCACACAAATATCGTCTTTCTCTGAAGGATAACAAGTTTTTTTTGTTTCCAGAAGCTCTTGATAGGATGGAAGCCCATAAATACTCTCTGAAGCGAGAATGAATCTCAAATTGCGATATTGCCATTTTGACAAATTACATGATGTAACTAGCGCTAACGTTTATCTTCAGGTAGACACAGTTTTAAGTTAAAAGATTGTCTACTATTTCACACTGTTCTTCGTTTTGGAACAGTTCTTTGATTATAGGTAGTCGCTAATTTCGTTTTGTTAGACTCTTTCAGTTTAGCACATAAAGCGTAAACTAATTCCTCCTCAGAATGATCTAAAAGTGTTAGAGAGCG